ATGTAATAAACTTCGCCCCTGTGATGTTCGTTCAAATAGTCTCTGCGTTACAATAGGCAAAACAATAGCCTGATCAGAGGAGATGGTTAGTCAGCCTATTTTAAATGAACAGCAAGCTTTGCAGTGTTTGAGAACTCTGGAATGTTTGTGAGACTGCTTTCCATGCAAAATATGTCATGGAAACTTTCTTAAAGCTTGAGCCAGTTGAGAGGACCATCATTAATGTATTACATCTGGAACTGCCATATACCTCAGCATATTTATGTATGTTGCCAGGTTTATCCTGGATTATGTAAGACGGACTGGCTCCATGAATCCATAATGCTGCATGATTATGAGGCTTGGTGACCTGAGAAAACTGTTTACAAATTGCCTCACCTCCTCGTGGTTGTAACCATTTTCCATTAAGTCTCCTTAAAGGGAGACAGGGGGTTGATTAGCTCAGTTGGCTGGGCAGCAGATTTACAATGCAGCATGCCACTGGTAGTATGGGTTCAATTCCCACACTGGCTGTAGTTACCAAAAAAGATTGTCCTTCTCCACTTCTTCCTTCACCTGAGGCACATTGACCCTCCAGGTTAAACCACCACCAGTCACCTGAGAGAGCAGACTGGTAAGACTATGGCAGCTTTGCCTCACAATTCTAAAGTGAGATATATCCGTCTTTTAAATTCTGTTTTTGGTCCTTTCAGTTTCTCCTTTCTGTTGATCAATGAGTCATTCGCAAAATAATTCTCATTCACGTCTCAAAAGGATCTAGGCTTATACTCTCATCTCTTCAAAATCATGTGCGGGAAGTATTGCCAGCTGAAGGAGCTTCTGCTCCAACTTTGCATGAGGATAAATACTATGTGGAGAGCACCTTTTCAAATGATGGCAACCTCATGCTGCAAGCACATGCAGCCAGAGAGTGAATGGTTGACTATCAGACAAATAAGGAGGACCGGGCAATGATGCAGGACTCCCCTGAGTGGACTTTGCTTGCTGACAAATATTCAATTCTAAACATTGCTGAGGGCACAAATTCCTGGGAAAGAAAGAAATGAGCAAGATTTCAAAAACAGTCATCTATGGATTGCTTCTAGTGACGCCCATTAGAGAGTACAGAAGTAGGAGGACAGTGCAGCTGAATGACTGATTGAAATGGCCTTGGAAAGATTTAAAGCATGTTGTGAATGGTTGAGAGGGAGGTAGGACCCATACAAGCTGAATAGGTGTAACTCAACAGGACTGAGATCAGCATCTTCATTGGGAGGCTTGACGGTCCTGCTGGGAAGAGTTTAAATCTTGATGAAGAAATGGGAGCCATGGTGTAGTTTTGGTAGAGAGAGAAGCAAAGGTGGAAAGAGAAGGCAAAAGCTTTGTAGTGAAATGTGGAAAGCCATGCCTGAAAAATAGACAAGTATGGAGTTTGGCCACGCAAGGAGTCTAGTGAATAAAACAGTTGAACTGAAGGGCACACACCAACATTTAGAAATGTCAGTTCATAGCTATTACTTAAAGAAAAAGAATGGCAGTTCATTATTCCCAATTTTTGGGTGTGGTAATGGGATTAAAAAGGAGAGGGAGTGGTTACAGTACTTGTTAAAAGATTTGGGGCAGGATGATATGTGTGAAGGATCACCAATGGTTTGAAGTAAAGAACCGAAAGAGGAATTCACATGCTGAGAGGTAGGAAGGAATTTCACTGTGTCACTTATTCGATGTAATAATAAAGAATTTTAACAAGACTTTAGTCATTGTGTCACAGAGACTATTCAGCAAAACGAAACTCCACGGAGAATTGGCAAATTGTATCCAAACTTGGTTTAGGACCAGGAAGCAGAAGGTTATGGTCAACATATTTTTTGTGTGACTGGAAGCATGTTTCTACTGGGGTCCCTCAAAGCAGGAATAGTAGGTACCATGCTTTTCCTGTTCATATCAACAATTTAGACTTCAATAGCTGTGCTTCAGAAGTTTGCAGATGATACAAATAAGGGTTGTGTGATTGATAGTCAGGAAGAAACCTGTAAACTGGAAGAAGATGTCAATGAACTGATTAGGCGAGTGGAAAAGTGGCAAATGAAATTCAATCCAGAAAAATGAAAGGAATGGCCTTTGGGAGGACAGCTAAAGCAAGGCTGATTGGGAGAGATGTAGAGGAACAGAGGGACCTGGATGATTTTCATGTCTGCATACTGCATGCAGTTCTAGTAACAGAAAGGATGTGGAGGAGATTGGTGATGATGTCAGGAATGGAATTTGAACTAAGAAAGGGACATCATACCAGTTGAGATTGTTTTCTCTGGAAGCCGGGAGGCTGAGCAGTGATTTAGGTGAGTAAAATTATGCAGGTCCTATCAAAGTGGATAGGAAAGACTTAATTCCTTTAGTAGAGGAGTCAATTTGTGTCATAGATATAAAGTAATTTGTTGAAGGACAAGTGAGGAGATAAGAAATCGTTGAAGATTTTCAGATAAGGATCTAGAACTCTTTGGTGAGAGTAGTGGAGACAGAAACCCTCATTAACTTGGCCGTGTACTTACAGGGTTACAGGCCAAAACTGGAAAGCAGATTAGTTTAGAGCTGTTTCTCCATTGTTACTGCTGCAGCCGGTCAAATGTCCAGTTTTTAGTGGAAATTTCTGTGCTTCTAATCTGTTGCTGCATATGAGCACTATTGGAATGGATTTCCATGTTAAATGGGTATTCTCAGTTGCCATTTGAAATTATTACTAAACGCGCATTCTGAAGTACTAACATTCTGCAAACAGAAGTGTTGATGTAGACATCAGACATCTTTATGTATTATGCATTTGATGATATTAGAAGCAATATTGTTGATTTAAATTAGGAATCCCTCTTTAAATTTGTTGGATAATTTCAGTAGCCCAATCCAATAAGGCTGAGTGCAGCTTAATGGTGGATTTCTTCTGAATTCCAGTTGACTATTGTTTGTTGACATCTCTTTCTCATTTGCAGTGACATCGGAAATTTTTGAAGATGATAACTGTGGCAGCCCTGTCTCTGAAGATTCAGAGAGCCAGTCAGAGTCCAGTTTGAGCTCTTATCCAACCAGCCCCTTGGATCCCACAATTCCTTTCCCTCCAGTAAACCGTCCGCCCAGCTTGGAACTGTTGAGTCCTGTGTCTGATTGTGGCATGGGTTCACCCATTCTGGGACCTCGCAGTGAGTGCAGTGGAGCCTCCTCTCCTGAATGTGAAACTGAAAAAGGTCAGTAATGTTTCAGGGTAACTGCGGAAGGAAAATATTTTGCAGATGAAATTTAACGAGCTGCTCTTTCAATCCAAAAGCTCTTTTATTAAATGTAAGAGAAGGTCGGTCTTTTCCCTAGGATTGGCGACTTCAAAACTAAAGGGCATAATTTTAAGGTGAGAGGAGAAAGATTTAAAAGGGACCTGAGGAGCAACTTTTTCACACACAGGGTGGTTCATGTTTGGAATTAGCTACCAGAGGAAATTATAGATGCAGGTACAGTTACAATTAAAAGACATTTGGACAGGTACATGAATAGGGAGGATTTAGAGGGATATGGGTCAAACGCAGGCAAGTGGGACTAGTTTGACTCAGGAAGCTAAGTTGGCATGGACAGGTTGGGCCAAAGGGTTTGTTTCTATGTTGTATGACTCTACGATGGCCAGTTTACAGGAGACTGTGCAACTAATTCCTGTGGTTCTGCTGTGCCAGTGTGAATGTAGTGGAATGAAAACTCTCATGTGTTTGTGCCACTTGTTGCAGACTGCACTCTAATTTGCAGTACCAGAGTCATGTGCATGGTAGGGTGTGGGTGTATTGCCTCTTGAAGGGGTCCTTTGTTCCACCTGTTTGAAACCAATATGCCCAGTCTGTGACACAGCACTGACCCAAGAAGGGACTCAAAATAAATCACTCATTTCACAGCTTACATTGTCAATGGAACAAGCAGGTCTCTTGAGGAAGATACTAACTCCTTGCTGAAGTTCAGGCTGCTCAAGTCACCTTGCAGAACTCATGCTGTCTAGTGCAGGTCCTGTGGAAGCCTACCAAGAACTTAACGAGGAATTTCAGGGAATTCTTCTCGATAAAGAGGAGGTTGGTGGCGGGCTGAAAACTATCTTTAGTTTTCTTGCCCTCCCACAATATTGTAATTTTAAGTGCAGGGGCAAATGGGGCGAAATCCTGATGTATGTGGTTTCCAGCTAAAGCTCTTGAGCTCCAGGAATCATGATGTCAGAATATAATTTTGCAGAAGCCAAGAAAAATGCAAATTTACCAATATTCATTATGTCCCAGAGAGAGGAGTGTGTGTGTCAAGGTGAATCCAGAAAGGTTCTGTTCCTTTCCAGTAGAAAATGTGTTGCTTTTCCATCCAGGGAACTCACAATTGGATTGTAGGGCATATGATGCTCACCTAAGTAGCCAGTAAGCAATCAACATTAATCAGTTTAATTTTGTTAGCAGGAGACCGAGCTGAAGATGTTGAAAGTGAGGACAAACTGATGAACCAACAATCTATTGATGAAGCAACACTGGAGATCAGAGTAACTCAAATTTCGGTCAAGTGTACAGAACCAAAGGAGAAGAGAATGTCAGAACTAGAAGTCTGCGGATTGGCTCCGTCACCGACCTGTTAAATATCGTGAAGCAACATCCTAAATGTGCCAGGAAATGTAGTGTCACAGACTTACTTGCTCGCACTGTCTTGGCCTTTTAATAGCTGTCTAACTACTGCACTGAAAGGTTTCCTTTAAAGAGTGGCTGATGTTTATAATTGGAAAAAGAAAACTACAGGAGTAGTTCTGAGTTGAAAATTAATAGCATATCTGCAAAGTATGTAGTTAGCAGTCTGATTTCAGACTGGAGGCAAAGAAGCAGTATCCACTTTTGTGCTGTTGAACTGGATGTGAAGTAAGATTCTTGTCTGCTTTGTTCCCCAGCTGATGACCTGCTTGTATGAGACAGAGGTGGAGCTCAGACCAGCAGAAAATCCTGCTTTGATCCACTTGCATCATGTGCTGCATTCATCTGCACCACTTCATTGTGTTCCTCTTCATGTTGATACTAGCTGTATCCTTGCGTCAGGATATGCTTGCTGCGTCGAAGATTAGATCTTACTTTGTGACAGTCTTAGTTGTTGTGTCCTGTTGAAAACTGACCTTGAGGACCTTTGTGTTTGTTATTCAGGAGGACTTACCCAAGAGAAGGAAACTGCCGTCAGTGTTTCACTTCCTGCACTGTTATGTTTATTAATAGTTAAACAACACAGTTGGAAAGAGGGGCCAGACTGACAAGGTGGAATTGAGATTCTTTTGACTATGCTGACAGAAACTGTAGGGAGTCAGCCAGTCTTTGCTAAGGGAATGGGATGTTGCAGAATTTTTCTACTGTCTTGCCACGTTTAGTTCTTTTTATATAGCCGACCATTAGTGCCAATTCAAATGCACTACATGCATTGACCGGTTTTGCTGCTATTCATTATTTTGTTGCCTGACTAGTTGAGCAACGTCCTGAACTGCAATGGAATCCAGTTCATAACTTTCTGTATTTTAACACAGCAAACATCTAATCCAGTCTGCCGAACCTGGTTCTCATCTGAGAGGTGTACAAGTGACTAATGGCAAAATTGCATGCCTTATGTTTTAAGCATTATCAGTCATAAATGTTGTAGTCTTTAGACATTGTTTTCAGTGTTACATTTTGTATAATTTTGTTTCAGTATTGTAATATTAAGAACTGTCTATGATGCATTTAACTATTTTATAGACTCTTTCATTAACCTAGCTTATAAGAATGTTATGAACACATCAACATTATGAATACATTTACAGCTCACAACTGACTGTTTCCATACATTGTGTGTACAAAGCCACGGGTGGGAATGGAAGAGTAGTACTGATCACTCAAATCTGTTGTTGCAAAATGAACACACTACAAAAATACTGGAGATGCTGGAAATACTCAGCATCTGGGGAGAGTGAAACAGGAAATGTTTCAAGTCAATGATGCAAGGTCATTGACCTAAGACATTAAATTTTGTATGTCAAAAATACTGTTATGTTTTTCACCAGTGAATAAAACTATTATTAGGAATGTAAAGAACATTTAGTTTAAGCATCAGGAATAAGGTTGTTCCCTTAGGAGGAAGATGGTAAAATCCTTTGAGATTTCAGGATGAAAAAGTTTGGGTTGAATTGTTAAGGGGCCAAGTTTAGATTTTTGAAAAGCACTTCCTTCGATCATGATTTGAAGCAATATTTGTTTTATTTTGCTGACTGAAGACTGTTCTATTTCTAGCTCTTATAGCCACAGTTCAGCTTTTCTTCCTCACACAGTCCAAAACTTCAACTGAATTTAAAGAATAGAGCAGTTTAAAATGAAGAAAGTTAGTCTTTTATTCTGCATTTGGTAAACTAAATGTTTTGTTCAAGTGATTTAATCTCTTTCAGATCATGCTGCTTCACTTAATATATTAACCAGATGTGTAGCAATGCAATAGTGAATAATTATAGACACTTGATTGTTTACAACATGGTGGGTTATTTAATAGGTAGACTTAAACAGCTGCACATAGTGCTGCTTTCAGTCAGAAGATTGTGTTCAACTTCCATACTGTGGATTTGAGCTCATAATCTAAGTCAACATGTCCAATGGATATAACATTAAACAGCAGTCACTCAGTATCAAATAGACATGTTAAACAATAACTGTGCCTGCTCTTTCAAAAGCCCAAAAGATTCTATGGCACTCTCCCTGAAGTGGGGAGGAATCTTCTCCTGAGCCCTGGCCAATATTTATCCCTCAATCAAAATTGCAGATGAACCTGTGGTTAAGCACAATCACAAGTGTGGAATTTTGCTGTGTGAAAATTGGCTATATTTCCTTTATTAAAACATTACCTGTGTTTTGTGATTTGAAAGGTGACTTCTTTTCCTTTGGTAGAGAAATATGTTACTATGGTATGTCCAGATAAGAGCATCTGTAGCTGAACGTGGAAATAACTAGGGCAATGTCCAAAGCACAAGGTAATTTGACTGACCTGGCTACATAAAACCTGAACAAAATAAATTCTGCAGAATAGAACATGAATGACAGAAGCTGACTTTTATTCATAATTCAAGGTTTATATACAGACTTGAATAGAGGAGTTCCTATGTTTCCAGTCATGAAGTAAAAGTTATTTAGTATCTTCTGTAATGAAAATTCAATTTTCCCACAACCAGTGTGTGGAAGCATAACCTGAATTTTTATACATGCTAAATACCAAAAGATGGATTAAAAAATATAATCTGAAATAGAAATAGATACAGCTGAGTTTAGAATCACCAGACCAGTATCCACCTTTTATAAAAAGATTGGTTTGTATGATTACAAATATTTACTGGTCTTTACAATATACATTGCACATGTCCCTAAGTTGCAGAGCCAGTCCAGTAAACATCAACAGCTGCTTTTCAGGTAGGTTAAGAGATGAGTTTCCACATTTGCATCATCCTGTAAAGAGCTGGCAACACAGTTTTCAACTAAGTACTTAAAATCTATTCTGATTGCAATCCTGGGGATAAACAGCTGCAAATTAAATTGCAAAAGACTCCCAGTTATATTCTACAGTAAAAATATGTACATTGATCATAAAAACATCATTCCTTCATTTTTTCCCCAAAAAGTATGAGACTTGAACTAACTTTGCTTAACACATGAATGACATTGGAAGTACAGGAACCTTCCCCAACTATACCCTCCTCCATTAGACTCTCTCAAAAAAATTCTATGAATACATTCCATTAGTGCCTGAGAAGATGTCACTTTTCTAAAAAAAAAAACTTTTTTATTAGGTATGTCCATGATTCAAGAGTAAAAGTGCTCATTACAGATCTTCATTTCACTGTAACTGTGAAATCTTGAGTGGGATGATACTATGGAAGTCCAAGAAAAAAGGGCCTTCTTGAGCAGGCAGGAAGGTTGTGGGGATGATATTGTAAACTCCTGTAGGGACTCGCTCAACTTCCAAGTAACAGAATCCACATCTGCAGGAAGAAATACACGTGGTCATCGTCAAATAAGTATATCTGATTAGGTTTGCGGTTTACTGTACAAATCTGAAATCTAATACATCAGGCAGTCAGTGAGAATTATAGGAGCACAGAAAATACCTGATGAGTTGAACACATGAGCATCTGCTGTAGAGAGAGGGAGGAAATGTGGTGGGACAAGTGACAAACATAGAACTACCAGGAAGAAGAACAGGAAGGCAAGACCCAATGAAAAGATGCAGTAGTAAGATAGTTAAAGGTACCAGGATTGGGAAGACTGAAAAGGTGATTGACAGGATGGGATAGAGAGGGCGATGAAACAGCACGGTGGCTACCCCAGGTAAAACAGGAGAAGCTGAAGGACCGAAAAACTGTTATCCATGAAATAAAAGAAAAGACAGACCTGGATATATCTAGCACCTTTTATAGCATTCCAATGCAATTTACAATTAATGAAATTGTATTGTACTACTTTAATGTAGAAACCATGGCAGCTAACATTTCTGTATGTGGATCTTTGCTACATGCAAAGAGATATTAACCAGTTAACCCTTCTGTGAAATGTTGATAGAGGGATAAAGATTGGCAAAGATACCAAGAAGAACTGTGCTCATAAAATAATGCAATTGGATATTTTAAGATCACCTAAGAAAGCAGCCCAGGACAACCCGACTGTCATTGAAGCTACTCCTCAACTTTGCAGCAGGAGTGCAAGGGTGGAGTATGGGCTCAAATCTCTGGAGTGGAGTTGAAGCCACAACCTTGTAGTGGCTGACACTTCAAAAAAAAGAGGTAGGAAAGTGAGTTATGAAGAGGACACAAGGAGCCTACAAAAGTATCTAGATAAATTAAATGAGTGGGCAAAAACCTGGTAAATGAAGTACAATCGGAGAAAATATGAAATTGCCTATTTTTGGCAGAATGAATAAAAGTGCATATTATCTAAGTGAGAAGTTACATAGCTGAGGTGCAGAGGGATCTGGGTGTTGCAGTGCATGAATCACAAAGTTAGTATACAGGTACAGCAGGAATCATGAAAGCTAATAGTTTTTTTTTGTGAGGGAAACTGAATGCAAAAGTATGGTGATTATGTTGCAATCATACCGGGCACTAGTCAGAAGACATATAGAATACTGTTTATAGTACTAGCCACCATACTTACAGGAGTTACTGTTGGAAGCAGCTCAGGGAAGACTTATGAGACTAATATTTGGAATGAGTGGAGTGCCTTAAGGGGAAAGGCTAGGCCTCTATCCTATGGAGTTTAGGAGAGTCAGAGGCACTTAATTGAAACGCAAGATCCTGAGGGAACTCAACTAGTTGGTTGTCAAAAGGATGCTTCCTTTTCCGGGAGAACCTAGAACTAAGGGTTATCATTTAAAAATGAGGGTCTCCCATTTGAGAGAGAGAGACAGAGAGAGATATAAGGAAACATTTTTTCTCTCAATGTCAAGTGTCTTTGGAACTCATCAAAATGTAGTGGATGTAGAATCTTTAAATATTTGTAAGGCAGATTCTTGATTACCAAGAGGATGAAAGATTGGTAGGGATATGTGGGAATGTGGAGTTGACCTTATTGAACAGCAGAGCAGGCTTAGAGGGTTCCTTGTTCAATAATGAGATACAAATGGCTGGAAAGGACTTCTGTTGCAATGGCTATGTCCTTGCCTCTGGGCCTGGAGGCTCAGGTTCAAGTCCCACTTGCTCCAGAGGCAAACAGGGCAATTAGGAAATATCTATAAATACATGACAAAACAAACATAAAAGTGACATGTCCCCCACACATCAAAAATCAGCTCAACATTTTTCTAGTTTCAGATCTTAAAAATGACTGAAAGCAAATATGTTATACAAGGTTACAAAACATGAGAAGGACAAATGTTGCTCCTGGTGAATGAAGAAAAGTCTCAGCCTGGAGGGAGGTGAACATTAAGTTGGAGACAGCATAGTGAAAAAAAGAGGGAAAACCTAAAAGGGAAGGAACAGAGCAGTAGGCAGGGAGCCTGGAGGGAATTGGCCTTGGAAAAGCAGAGGTTACCAGCTGAGTACATGAGCTTGGTGGAACTTAGCTCTTTGTAAGGATGGATGGACGTGGATGACAGGCAAGGTGGGAAAACTGAAAGCAGCTGCCCTGAGAATTTAAAAAACAAAAAAAAAAACTGCTGGAGAAGCTCAGGTTTGGCAGCATCTGTGGAGGAAAAAATTAACTTTGAGTCTTCTTCGGAATTAATCTCATTTTACTCCCAAATATTTCAGGAAGTAGCAACATCTCAAGTAAAGGCAGTTACTAAAAACATATTTTGCTAAGACAATGAGAACAAATTCCATTGACAGGATCACACAAGTGAACAGCAGTACCTGTAATCTCCACTGGGTTTTTTATGGAATTCAGTGTCTCCCACTGTTGAGACCGTCACCATTTCAAATCCAACACTGTATTGCCTGTGAAGAGATGAAAAGTAGGTAACTAACAAAATGTTCATGCTCAATCATTTATAAATTCATTTGGTTGGTATGGCCATGCACCATTAGAGCGTGTACCTATCTCACACCAAATCCTATTCATCCAACAACCATGCTCACTGGACTACATTGACACCTGCTCCAGCAACACTTGGATTTATAAAAACCTCGTTCTTCTGTTTTAAATACCCATTGCTTCATTCTTCCTATCACTGTAAGCTTCTGAAGTCCTACAAAATTCTCCAAGATCTGTTTCCCTGAGTTCTGATTTTTTTTGTATGTCCATCACTTATTTAATTGCACTATTGGCTGTGTCTTTAGCTGGCTAAGTTCCAAGCTCTGCAATTTCTTCCTCAAAACCCTTTGCCTCCTCTTAAAATGCTCCTTAAATCTACTTTTATAAAGCTTTTTGTCATCAGTGGTAATATCTCATGTATCTTGGCACCAAGTATTAGGATAAGATTTTTGTAAAGCACTGTGGGACTTTTTACTGTTTTGAAGATGTCATTACTCATTCAACTTCCCACAGCAGTAAGCTTCCCATCTTGCTATTACTGCTTTGGACTCGGAAGGAGGGGTTTCCACAAACATGGGTAGAAAGGACTAAATGTTGACCAGTATATAACATTATAACATGGAGGAATACAAGATATTTCAGGTCATGAAAAAGTTTAAGCCAGGATAAAATTCTACTTTGGAAGCAGGACAAAGGACCAATTTAATTAACAGCAATTTTAATATTAACCAGAAATTCTCATGTAGGAGAATGGAGGTGGGGGGGGGGGGGGGGGTGGGGGGGGGGAGTGGTGCTACTGTCAGGTCTTTGTGGATTAATTCATTTGGGCCAAATGGCCATCTTCATTAATGTGTAACATTTAACTTTGAAGTTTCTACAATGTAAAGTCATGTACACGGTATTTAGCTATTCAGCATACCAGGTTTAGAAACCTACGCAGCTGACAGACATGCTCATTTCCCAAAATTATTTATACTTAATTACGTTTTGAAATTAGAAGCACTGTCATTTTGACAAAGATTTACGGAGATCAGAAAGACAACAGTCTGAAGAAAACAAATCACACATAAGCCTGTGTTTTCTGTTCTGAAGTAGCAAGATTTATTAAGTGCATCCAGGATGCATTTTGAAATGACAGCATGAGAAAATGCTTCATTATAGCAAGATTTTTTTATTGAAAAGCAGCAGGGATACTGAGGTAATCTCCATATTTACATTTGCATAACAAACCATTACAAAGACTGAACAGAATTAGAATCTTTTGGAAAAAAGAGAAAGTGGAGAAACAACTTAATAGAGATCCTTCTAATGATGAAAAGGGTTTGATGAGGTATTAGATGATGATTTCACTTGCAGATGGAATCTAAAACTAGGCATTACAAATAAATGATTGTCAGTGACTCCCTCCCTTGCCAATAAATGAAAGTCACCAATAAATTCAGTAAGGCATTCTGGAGAAAAAAAAGATTAGCCAGAATGTGAAATCTATTATCACGCGAGATGGTTAAGGTCAATAGTATAGATGCATTTAAGACGAAGCTTGATAAACACACGAGGAACAGAATTACATAAACTAGGATGGTAAAAGGGTTACATGGAGCATAAACACTAGCATAGATCTCTAAACAGGCCCTTTCTGCGCTGTAATTTCAATATAGCATATATTAGTGTTTGATATTATTAACTTTGAAAATAAAAGCAGTTGTTTTTTTTTAAAAATAATTTTAGCAAAATGAGCAGCTCTTACTGCAATCAAAAATAAACAAAGAAACCAAATACAATTTGAAGCCAAGTTTATTTTTACTCTTTACTGACCTCGGCCCACGTAGCTCAATCAGCAATGGTCCAATTTTCTCTACACTGATTTGGTACACTGGATTCTTCTTGTAGCTGTCTCTGTAATTTCCACATCCTCCTGCACTCGGACCTTTCCACTGACCATTTACCTGGCACAAGCATACACATCGAAAACATGATTGCTGCAATCATGGAACTTTCAGAAGAGGCATTTCAACAAAGTATTTGCAGCTCTTACAGACATGTCATGAAAACAAATTCAAAAAACCCTTTCATCCCTGGTTGTTCTGCTGGATCAAGGACTTGTGTTTTGAAACTGCAGGACTAGGTGAACAGACAAAAACAAGATCTGGAATTACTTATAGCAGCTGTCAATAATTTATACAAGCAGTTTGAAATGCTCCAGTTTGGATTACAAAAACTTGGAAATGCACCAGTAATTAAATACATTGAGTAATTTGTATCTAACCCAACTGTCTTAAATCACATTCACACATCCTTTTCCCTTACCTGCCCACCTCCCTTCACATCATCCACCTGTCCAATCGAATCCCGAATGCTGACATAGGTTTGTACTTGACGCAAAAAGCTAATTATAGAGCCTTAACTTCTCATAAGAAATTTATCCTGCACTTTGTTCTACATTGTATATCTATGACCTTTTGATCTACAGGAAGGAACCTGCTTGTATCGATTTACGTTCTCCTATTCTTTCACAATTTTAAACACCTCTCACAGACTTCCCAAAGCCTGTATAAAATAAAATCAACCTCTTGATAACTAGGCACAACATTCAATTTTCTGTGACTGAAGTGATACTTGATAGATTCAAGATGACTTCTGTTGATTATAAAGAATAAAATTCCTGATATGTCTGTTGTGCTGTAAAGATACTTGGATTACACAGAATAGGCGGGTTGATAATTTTAAAGTTTGAAGAAAATATTTACCTCATTGAAATTTTATGGCAACTGGCCTGTACAATGAATTCTCGCACATTATTCCTTCCAAGCGCACTGGGTAATTTCCACTGTAATAATTGGAAAAATGCAACCATGCTAGCAAACTCCCCCACAGCACTTCAAGGCTCAAGATGCTATAGAGACCAAGATGGCTCACTGGGAAAGTAATAAACTACTTTTACACAGGCTTAAATGAGAGTAGGTGTGTTTGAAGAAAGCATCACACCCGAAACATCAATCCATCTTCCTTTCGTAAATGTTACTGAAATGCTAATGTTCTAGAAGGTGGAGTTAGGATGAGTTAGAAAGTTCCCTCAAAGAGCTGCACAGGTCCAGTGGGCTGACGGGCCTGTTTCTATGTGGCAAGATTCTATGTTGTGGAATCCAAGTATTTTCATAGAAGTGTTCTTCTTTTAGTTATGATAAACACTGTCTTCTCTTCCAAGAATCCAGAACTGTTCTGACTGGCTTCAGAGTGGAGGTTACTCATCAACTCTGAAGGTAAGGTCATCTAATGGAATAAGGCAGCTGATGGGAAAACAGTCTTTGTTTAAGGAGACACACCGAAATGCTCAGCTTTCCCTTGAACTAAAAGGACCTTCACAAGCACAAGAAATGGAGTGACAGGTGAATCAGATCAGTGACTTACAGTTAGACTGATGACTCTTATTGTCATGCCTTAGGTCTCCTTTAGTACATTGTAAATTTATTGCAGATCAACTTTTTGACACCTATCTTACATCACCGTAAACTTCAACCGTACTTCCAAAATATTTAAGCTTTACTGATAATTCCAGAAACCAGTATATATCTACATACATTTTTTAATTTGACAATTGGTTGCCAGAAACACTCACCCTCTTGTAATGTGTGTATGGAAATGGGATCTTTGAAAATGAATACTTGCACATGGAGTATACCTGTTAAAAGAAAAAAAACTATGATAAGAAAAAACATATTTTCTGTCTTTCATGTAAAGTCTAGCAAGTTTTGCCAGTAGATCGGCATTGAGAAAAAGAAAGTTACCACCCAGTTAAATGAGATAATACCACATAAATGATGTGTGAATCATAGTTTAGGAGGAAACTATTCAACAGTAATTTTTCCACTGTTAGTCACACTTTTTCAAAAAGTTACCTTTTTTTTCCTACTCTCTAAAAAGCACTGATCCCTTTGTAAGATCCAGTCATCTCACACTTGTGATACGAGAATCCTAACAGCGAGTAGGAATGGCCTATCCAACCTACTCCTCAAACAAGTGATTCACTCGTGCTTAGCTCTTCCCTTTCATTATACTTGCGAAGTAGGGATTGTCGACTGGCTGTTGTTCCAAACTCCAACTGCTCTATCCTGGCATTATCAGTTGTAACTGGGTTGATAGCAGTTTCCACTCACTGAAAAGGTTGTGGGTTCAGGCACCACTTCACAGAACTGACCATGCATTCACTGAATGACACTTCACTGAAAGTTGCACAGTCCGAGCTGCTGTCTTTCAGATGAGACATTTAACCAAAGCCCTGTCTGACAGTATTAAAAACATAGGTCCCTTTAAGGTTAAAACAACTTTTAATCAACGTGTTTGGACAAGTGATGACAGACTTTTGCACAGGTGGGAATCGAACCTGGATACACTGTCTCAGAGGCAGGAACACCATCACTATGCTACAACAACCCTCGATATTTTCTAATCAGCCTATTTAGAGATGGCTATAACACACCTCTCTTGCAGCTGGGGCTTGAACCCAGAACTGCTGGTTCAGACATGGGGACACACTGTGCCACAGGTGGAATGTAGCCGTTCTCAGCATTTTGAGGAAAAGCAGGACAGCTTTCCTTTAGTCCAGGGAAAAATATTCTCTCATCAAATTCACTAAAATATTATCTGGTCATTATCTTATTGTATATGCTATTCAGATGCAGTGACTGGTGCACTGCAACGGTGACTACACCTCTACTCAGCTGGTGGCAAAATCATTGGGATATCTTGAGATTGTGAATGGTACGAAACATATGCAAGTATTCTTTTCTTGGTTTCTAGAACACTGCTGCTCCTGGTCTCCAGCCCTGTCATAGGTATTTCTCTCATTATTTTCCAAAAACTTATAACACCCATCTGCTTCCACTGGTCCATTCATATTCCTCTATTTCCGACTCAAGTCGTTCATCAGAGTCTATAATAGGCCATTTAAATGGTCAGGGTTAAAATAAAAACTTGTTTGGCAGGTAGGTAGGAAGAAGTTGCATTGTTTAATACATTGTATCTTTCAAGAACCCTGGGGAAAAAAAACTTCACAGAACAAACTGCTTTGAAGTAAACTGACCAAGGTAAGAATAAATCTGGACATGTCAGGCAGAGTATCCAACTGAAGTGAAATTTAACATTCAGTTTGTAACAACAGTGAGAAAGCAGGTGGGTGCAATACCTACGTACCCTCAGTGTGTAATGGATGGTGTTCTGCTTCTCATACTGAGACACCACTAAAGTAAATGTGTTTGTCCCCGGTGTTGTCAACTTGATCTTTGTAAGATAATGAGGGCTGTTTATTCGTATTCCATCAATGAAAGGTGGAGGATCACCTGCAATTGAATGTGACATTTAAAAACAATTTTCTCAAACTAAAAATTCAGCGCATGCAATACAAGAATCAGGATTACCTGATATCTGACTGCAATTATAGTTTAAACTTAAATTAATTAATTACAACATAGTCCCAATCTTCATTTAGTACAAGCATTGGGAAAGCAAGTCATACAGTACACTACACTCTCCGAGGTTGCAACAAGTGACAATCTGCCTCTAAAAATAAGACACTATTAATGGAAATATGCATTTTGGGGTGGTCACCTTGAAAATGATTTTGGGAGATAGAATGAAAAACAACAAAGTTAAATGTGCAACCAGAAAAGTAGCTGAAAATAAGGAGGCAGCTTTCACTGTCTCTTTGCACTTCTAGTGTGAGCCCAGAATCTTAAAGCTCTGTTATGCAAATTTATTTCAATGATTAATTTACAGAGAATTTCACGCACACCAGCACTTTTGTTCAAACATGCACTTGTCCTGTTAGTGTTGGATTTCTGGCATGGCTCTCAGGTAGTTCTGAGCCATTATTAATCATCATTTCATTGGGTTTTTTTCCAGTTCCATGGAGGTGGCTTTAAAAATGATTTTTAAAATCAACAGCACAATGTTGAGAAAAAAATTGACCATAAATATTGTAAATTAAGCTGCTCTGCACCAATCTTTTGGCTGCAAACCATCCAAAAGCATTGATGAATTACAGATTTATTTGCATAACTTGTCTACATACAGTAAAGAAATGTCTTGTGTAGATGAAAATCTACCAACTTTACCAGATCCTGAATTGACCACTAGTAAACAAGGTGCAGGCAGCACTCTGGAAACTACAATAACTAACTGAGCATTTTAATTATATCTGAATTGCTTGTTAGATAACATGGTAAAGAGACACAATGCTGGAGGTGGAGATTTTTGGGTTGTGTCCCAACTTCCATTTCCTAGTCATTGATTCAATCTCTCTTCCTGCTCATTATCTTAAGCAGACGATTGCTCCGAAACAGCTGCCAATCCACATATCCTCTCCAAAAAGACTATTTCCACTGCAGCAGCTTGTCTTCAACCTGGTTTTGCTATCTATAGACTTGAGTATTCCAATGCTCTCCTGACTGGTTACTCACCTTGTATCTTCCACAGACTTGAACTCATCCAAAACTTTGTTGCACAAGTTCCATTCACCCATAACCTCTGTTTGTTGAAATACACTGGCTCCTGAGCCACAGTGCTGCCATTTCAAAAATTCTCACTCATGTTTATACCCCTCTATATCTCTGCAACTTCCTCCAGTTCTACAATGATTAGATAAATATGTTTTCCTGCAATTCTAATCTCCTGTGTTTCGTGGATTTCCTTTGCTCCATAATTGGCAGTCATGCTTTCAGCTGCTTAGGCGCCACATTTCGGAATTTCCTCCCTAAAGGTGATTTGCCTCTTTATCTTCTTTTACACGTTCTTTAAAATCTACCTCTTTGATCAAGATTTTAATCACCTAGTATCTTCTTTGCTTCTGTTAAATACTGTTTATTAATGCTCCTATGAAATACCTTTAACATAGGATAATCTCTCAAAGTATTATATAAATGCAAGTTGTTGCAGTAGAGATTTAAAATATACTAATCTGGCTGTTGGTGGAACCTAGATCTGTACAGGCATCCTGTCAAATGTATCTACAAAAGTGAAACAACTTTAAGTCCATAAGATGATAAGACAATAGTAGCACAAGTAGGCCATTCAGTCCACTGTATCTGCTCCACCATTCAATGATATCATGGCTGATGTGATAATCTTCAACGCCACTTTCCAGCTCTTTCCCATAATCCTTTATTCCATTAAAACTCTGTCCATCCCAGCATGGAACATATTTACCTATTCAGCCTCTACCACCCTCCCATTTCTACTCCCAGATCTCAATCAAATTACTAACCAAAATGAGAGTTAAAAAACTATTAGTTGAACCACCATCTTTATAATTTATTTAAAAATTCTAATTCACGTTTCCATGAATACATGGAATGAAAATGTCATTCTAATCTCAAGTTTGCTTGAAGCTTTTTGATTCTGTGTGCACGTCCTATATTCTACATTCCAAGTGAAAGCTAAAACAAACCATCACACTTTAGCATCCATTATTCTCAGTTTTCCTTGTTCATCATGTGTTGCACTGCTCCACTTCTGCACAAATCACTTAGACAGTTTGTTTTGCTGGAACTTAATTTTTCTTTTGCTTTGGCTTTCAATTACTTTTATGTTTCTTATTCTTGGACTTGCGATGTTACTTTTTGTCAGGATTTATGACATTTTATGTGCAATAACATGGCTCTAAACAACCATTATTCTTCAGTTTTAATGCAATCGTTCCACTTTAATCTTCCCAGAGCTTCTCTAAAGTCTTACTAATTCTGACATTTTCATAAATATTCTACTTACTTGGATAGTAAACCTTCTTTCCTCCAGTCTGGTAAACTACCAATGTTATGAATTCTCTATTGTGGGCAAAATCATCCTGGAATGAGAATACAAATTTACCAGTCAGGTTAGAGAATGAACAGATTACACACAATTCTTGTAACTCTTACAGCATAGAAAAAAGCCCATGTGCCACTTCTCAGAGAGCTATCCGCTTAGTCCCATGCCCCTACCCTTTCCTACACCCTTTAAAAGAAATTCAGTACAAGTTCACTCGACTTTTAAAATCTATAATCAATTCCGCCTCCATCATCACTTCTTGTAAAGCATTTCATGATCCCAAAAACTATTTCAATCAATCCTGTTCCACCATTCAATATGATCTGGTTTTATAATTCAGCTTAGTACCTTGTCCCACTTTTGCCCCATACCCTTTGATTGCTTTAGCCCTAAGACTATGCCTAACTTGTCCTTAAAAGAATGCTATGTTTTGGCCTCCACAACATTTTGGCAGAGAATTTCAAGGGTCACCACTCTCATTATGAAGAAATGTTTCCTCATCTCAGCACTAAACGGCCTACCCTGTAGCCTTTGACTGTGACTCCTGGTTCTGAACTCCTCAGTCATCAGGAATATCCTTCCTGTGTTTATCCTGTCTAATCCTGTTAGACTTTTATAGGAATTTATGAGATCCCCTTCATTCTTCTAAACTACAGTAAATATTGTCTTAAACAATCCAGTCTCTCTTCAGATACGAGTTCCACCATCCCAGGAATCAGTCTGGCAAACCTTTGTTGTACTCCCTCCATAGCCATAACATTCTTCCTCAGATAAGCAGCCCAAATATACACATAATATTCTAGGTGTCATCTCATCAAGGCACTGTACAATTGCAACAAGACATCCCTGCTTCATTTGGATTTAAAAACTGCTGCTTTATTTGTTTTAATGGTCTGAAATCTATTCCTTCAAATCACTGACAAGTGGAAACAATAATTCGATAGGCTTGTTGAATTCTTTCTAACTTGTGAGTACAGTCTCCCTGCTATAGGAAGGATGCTGTGACACTTGAAAGGGTGCAGAAAAGATTTACAAGGATGTTGCCAGGATTGGCAGGATTGAGCTATAGGGAGAGGCTGAATAGGCTGGGGTTATTTTCCCCAGAGCATCAGAGGCTGAGGGCTGACCTTCTAGAGGTTTATAAAATTACGAGGGGCATGGATAGGGTGAACAGCCAAGGTCTTTTCCCCAGGGTACGGGAGTCCAAAACTAGACGGCATAGGTTTAAGGTGAGAGGGGAAAGATTAAAAGGAACCAAAGGGACAACCTTTTCATGCAGAGGGTGGTGCATGTATGGAATGAGCTGCCAGAGGAAGTGGTGGAGGCTGGTACAATTACAACATTTAAAAGGCATCTGGATGGGTACATGAATAGGAAAGGTTTAGAGGAATATAGGCCAAATGCCTGCAAATGGTACTAGATTAATTTAGGATATCTGGTCTACATTAGACGAGTTGGATCGAAGGGTCTGTTTCCGTGCTGTACAGCTCTATGACTCTATGAGGCTGTAAGAGATATCTCTGTCTAAATTTTGACTAGGTCTGCAAGAGATATCTCTGCAACCTTCTGTTATGTTGAAAGAAGAACCAATTTCTCCAGTCTCTTCTCGTAGCCTGAGACATGAGTGTTTGGCTACCTTACTTATCTTTTCTGTACCCTCTCCATTTCCTCAACATGCTTACATTTATAAGAAGATAGAATCAGGAAAAAAGGACATCATATAAAACATAAAATTTACTGCACAGAAGGCAGCTATTTGACTCATTGTGACTGTGCTGGCTATCCAGTCTATCTCAAAATCCAGTATGTGATCTATAGCCATGGAGATGTACTTACCTCATGGCATATCCAAAATTAATAAAAAGAGGGTTTCTGCTTTCACCACCCTTTCAAGCACTGAGTATCAGATCTCCAGATTTAAGAAAAACATTCTCAGCTGCTGTTTAATCATTCTACCACTTGATTCTCCAACTGGTCCTACTTCCTTAATTATCCTTGCTCTATGTATTTAAGTTATCCTCAATTTTGCTTGCCAACATGCACTGATAGCCTTCCTTTGCTTCCTCAATCTCCTTTTGAATTTCATCCTTGTACTCTCTTACTGTCTTCTGCGATATTGAGCTTTATACATCTGACATCAGGATTTTTATTTGCTGCCTCAACATTGTTTTGTCTCTCTCTCTCTCTGGGTCTGCCTGTCCCATGGAACTCTGGATGTTTACCTTCCTTCCTTTGATTATACTGCAGCTGCTCATTGCCTCCCTATTGCCAGGGTAAAGGAGCTCAATGTACCATTCTGGAGTCAAGTTTGCAGCTGTAGAAATGCCTGTCTCTTCCCGTTACAACTGAATTCATTATTATTGTTTTCTTTAACCACTTTCTCTTGTTACCTCAGTCTATAGGACAAAGCTTTCAATGGAAATGAAGAGAAGAACAAGGTCAATCTCAATCTTGTTATGAATTGTACTGTTAAGGAGTCCCATTTGGAGTCAAATCTATAATTCTCTGTTTTATTTTACACAAGATTACAGGCAAGTATAGAACAAGCTACAAAATTTATTCAATTTTACTTATTTGTGTTATTCACTCAGAAATGTGTTGGCTAAGACAGCATTAATTGCCTATCTCTAATTGCCAAGAAAGCAATAAAGAGTCCACCATATTGCTGCGCATTTGGAGTCACAAATAGGCTAGAACAGATAAGCAGATTTGTAAAATAGATAGCTTTTTTTCTAAACAACAATTGACAGTGGTTACATGTTGCCAGCAGGTCAGCTCCCTATTCAGTTTTTATTGGATTCAAATTTCACTATCTGCCATGGAAGGATTCAAACCTACATCTCCAGAACACTGGCTTGGGTTTCGGGGTTGCCAGACCATTGACATCACCACTATCCCACCACCTCACCTGCCATGTGCTGCTGTTAAACTTGGTTATTAGATGCGCAAGTGTGGTACAGACTGATTTTGGCCTCTTCAGTTCTTTCAATGGCCCCAGACTGTCCCCGGTCACAATATCCAAGTTAAAATCAGAGCTTACCACAATGGTAATCACATGCAAGCTCTCAACTTTTGTACCAGAGTGCATTCAAATGTCTGGAACATAAGCAGTCATAGGACTCTGCTACTTTTGTAAAAAAGATCGCTTTTCCTCCACAGCATTTAAATCCACGCCTGTAAAGCAGCTTTACTGTCTCAGAGCACAACTTGGGAGAAACCACATTTCAAAAGGTGACCTCAACAATGAACTGGGAAAATGACTGTGTTACGTATGGCACTCAAGCTTTTGAACCCAAAAGCAAAGTTCCGTAACATCAGATCAATGGTCAATTGAGACAAAACATTTTGCATGCCACAGAATTCAACACAATCATCTCCTCTCACCAATCTTCTCTTAGAAAACATTCTGGGAAGGATGCAAGTGTTTTCTGAGAGGACGCTAAGGGAATTTACCAGAGGGACTTGAGGCATAAGGGATTTTAGCTACAAAGTTAATGTTGGAGAAGCTGGTGTTGTTTGCCTTGCAACATGAGGGGAGATTGGAGATTGAGGTGTACATGATTATGTTAGGTTTAGGTAGGGTAGTTTTTCTCATTAGCTGATGAGACAGGACAAGAGAGCATGAGTTTAAGGTTTTGGGTAATAAAAGCTGGAGGGGAGAGGGGAAAATTCACCATGCAATTCGAAGAATGTCATTTTTTTTGAGTGGCAGAGCAGACCCAAGGTGTCAAATGGTCTACTTCTGCTCTTAGTTTGTTTGCAACTCACTGCCAATAACAGTAGAGGGAGCAGGGATGATGAATGACCGCAAAAGTAAACTGGATGGCTACTTGAGGAACCTAAACTTGCAGGGCTACCAAACAGAGCAGGGGAATGAGATTAAGTGGATTGCATTAAAAGGTGACAGAAGTTCATAGTCTGAAATGGCCCCCCTTCTCTGCTGAAATGAGTGTCTGTTTTGCATTGCACTACCATTGTACTAGATGGGATGGATTCAGAACAGAAGCAACAAGGCAAAACTGGACAAACATGGGACACTGCGGGCCATCGGCAGCAGCAGAATCATATTCCATCACGACCTGTGACCTCGTAGTCCAGTTCCAATAATACTGTCTAACCAGGGTATCAATCCTGGTTGAATGAAGAACATGGAAAAACAGAAGTAAAGCATAATTCAAAGATGAGGTATCAACTCAGCGAAGCTACAACACAGATTTACATGCAAGATAAATGCTGAAAGAAGCACGCTACATAAATTATAACCCCAAAACCAACTGATCAATCAAAGCTTTGCAGTTCTGTAACATCCAGTCACGAACACTGGACGATTAAACAAACAATGGGTGGAGGAGGCTACATAAACATCCCATCAATGATGGGGAGATCCTGCACATCAGTGCAGGATACAAGACTGAAGCATTTGCAACAACCTTAAACCAGAAGTGATAATTTGATCTGTCTCAGCCTTCTTCATGTCCTTGTCATCACAAAAGCTAGACTCTAGTTAATTCAATTAATTCCACATTATATTGTGAAATGCTTTGTGCAATATATATAGCAAAGGTTATTGGCCCCATTGGCCCCAGCAATTCCAGCTGTGGTGGTGACATCTTAAGCTTCAGCACTAGCTATGGCCTTCGCCAAGTTGTTCCAGCATAGCTGCAACACTGCCATCTACTTGACAAAAAGTGAAAAATTGCTGAGTTTTCTTGTCCTTGGCAGACCAAACCTAATCCACAATTACTGTTGCATAAGCTAAACTTAATTATCAAGAAAGTGATGGAAGGTGTTGTCAATGGTGTTATCAACCCATCTTGTGGCACAGTGGTAATGTCTACCCCTGGACCAGAAGGCCTGGGCTCAAGTCCCACCTGCTCCAGAGGCGTGTAATAACATCACTGAACAGATGGATTAGAAAAATAGGTTTTTTAAAAAAGATTGCTCAGCAATAACCTGCCCAGCAATGCTCAGTCTAGGTTCCATGAAGACCTCACTTCAGACCTCAAAACATCCATGGTGTAAACATGGACAACAGAG